AGGAGAACAAATTTTGTCCTTCGAAGAGCTAAGTACGGTGCTCGCTCAAATTGAATGCGTAATGAATAGCCGCCCACTTTGTCGGACGTTGTCTAGTGACCCCTCGGAACCGCTGGCTCTAACTCCAGCACATTTTTTGAACTTAACGCCTTTAAAGTATTTGCCCGCCGCAGATATTGATGAGAACAGACTTAGCATTTCCGCACGACACAAATTATTAGACCGGTTAGTGCAATCGTTTTGGAAACGATGGAGGATGGAATACTTGCATACTTTGCAGTCTCGGCAAAAATGGAACACAAGGACTGAGGCTTTAGCTGTAGGAACTGTAGTTGTGCTCACTAAGGAGAATACGCCACCTCTCCACTGGCCGTTAGGAATTGTCGAAGAGGTATTTCCCGGTTCCGACGGAGTAATTAGGATAGCTCGCGTTAAGACCACGGTTGGGTCTTACCTACGTCCTGTTGTCCGTTTGTGCCCCCTGCCTCTTCCATAATTTAAATTCGCTTTCTAGATTAAAATTGTAGTTGAATTTAGGTAATCTTAGCGTTAGTTAGTTATTTGTTAGTTGATCTTAGCTCTAGTTGTTTTAGTTATTTTTTGAAGGAGATCCTTCAAGGGCGGGGGAGATGGTTGCGCGGAAAACCATTCGTATTTATTTTATTTGACGGTAAGCTGCCAAATCGGTTATCCCTTTCCAAAACGATATCATTCGTACCCTCCTATCGACACATCGGGGTGGTGGGGTGGGAGGGGAAAGAAGATGATTTTAGAACATCACCTAATCATCGGAACCGAGGATATATAAGACACGCGCGACCGACGCGTGGCCTCTTCCCGCCGAGCTCGTTGTTGGAAACACATCACTAGTAGGAACCGCTTTAGCCTGGAAGCAGTCGAGCTCCAGGAAACCCGCCTCACCTCGTGTGAGATATAGTCGCGCACCGCCTCTCTCCGGAGTGTTCCAGAAGTCGCAGTTATAGTGCTCGACCGCATAGAAGAAACATCCCGGTGAGTCCACATTTTCCTAATAGTATTTTCCTGCTTGATATAGTTGTTTTAACCCGCTCCAATTTTGTGTTTTCCTAATCAAGCAGGATTCCTTTCATCGATTTGGCAAATAATAGTTGTTTTTTTTTTTGGGAAGAGCGAGTGCATTGTACCGCATATATAAGTGTAGAATCATTTTGTAGATACAGTCCACTTAGATTAATATCTCGCGTAATAGGTCCGGGACTCGACCGGGGAACTAGACTTCGGCAGCCTTAAACACGTGGCTCCACCAAAAATTAATATAAATAAAACGTGATAAAATCCGTAAAAGTAGTTTTAATCAATGTATAGTGTTCGCGTAAATATAAGAAATCATTATACATAACCTTCTCTTTTTTGAAGTTCCCTAATCGGATAAAAAGTAGCCTATATATGATTCTTTAAGATTCCACGGGTTACTATCTACCTACCTACATATATAATTTCATAAAAATCGGTCTAGCAGTTTTTGCATGAATCGTGAATACACAGACAGACAGACTGGCAGACAGACCGACTGACAAAAAGGGGATTGCCCACTCTTCATAGACACTTCGGCCATGGGTGCCCACATATAAAAGTATATAGATATGATAATATGCAATTAAAAGAATGAAATGGTAAAGGAATTGCTTTAAAAAAAGACGGGATTTTAATGATATATAAGTTTTTATTTTCACAAATACAGATTTTTTAACTACTTTTATCAATTTTATCGCGTTTTAGTTCTTTGATTTTTAATTTCAGACGTTTCGGGTGCTTTAAGGCACCAATGGTCACGGCGAACTGACGTGACTGACGTCCCAATGTCAGTGTTAACCTGGAATACCTTCAGATTTTTAATTTTTATTTATGGTCCGATCTACAGAATGAACTTACTGTGTCTTGAAATCTTGCAGTGGTATGCTTGGGTTTAGTTTTAATTTCATTAATTAAAGGGTCCCAAGCAAGTGGTAGTACCAAGCCTCCTTCTCTATTTAAATAAGGATTTTTTTTTATTTCAATAGTCTCACGTATCACCCTTGATAGGAATTGATGTTCCTTCGAGGATTTGTGGTCTATCAAATCTTATTTATGTTTATCTGGTTGGGGCCATCTAGGACATGATCACAAACTGCAAACTTCCCTGAACTTTAATGCTTCACGTCAGCTATATGTTCTTTTACGCGGGTTTTAATTGTTCTTTTCGCTTGCCGTATATATGACAGACCACATACACAATCAATGGTGTACACTCCTGCACCTTTTAGAAGAATATGACACTTGATTGATGGTAAGAAATCACTAATCTTCTTCAGAGGCTTGTAGAATGTTCTAATAGAAGCTCGCTTCAAGATGTAGCCGATCTAGTCTGTGACACCCCTGACATATGGTAGTACTGAACACGCTTGACTGTGGCCGGCTTCACTCGGTCACTGTGACGTAGGACCCGAAGCTTGTTGACGTGCAGAACCTGCTTGATGTATTGAAGCTCGATAGCCAGATATTTGCTGTCACAGATCCCTTGTGCTCTCTGTAACAAAGATTTGCTAACGGTAGCTAACTTGTAAAGGATAATGGTGAGATTCATTGTTTTCTATACACAGTTTGACCTATGGTATTGTTAGGATTTTGGATGACTAACGCATCTAGGAAAGCTTAGGAATTATTTGCCTCTAATTTATACATCAATACACCATCCAGGAACTGAGCAGGAGGCAAAATATAAGTTTGATGCCGTGCTCAACCCAAATACCATATTAATGTCATAACATGGGCACAGCATCATACTGTTCGACGGCCGACAATACACTTTACTTTACTTTTTAAATGCACTTCTACCAGAACTATTGCCACTAATTAAAATATATATAAAATACACTTTACGACACTAAGTAAAGATCAGCTAGGGCTAAAGTTTATTCCTTCCAAAATGCTGCTCCTGTGGTTATTACAGAGTTCTGTCCGGTAGCAACCATTAAATCTTAGATGCTCACCGTAATAGGAGTGAGCTTGCTTTAGATGGTATGTGCCACAAGCAATTAATATTAAGTCGTTAAAACAGGAAATTCCCTAACATTTTTAGTATACATTTATATTTCTAAAGTCTGCCCTAGCTCTATTTAGATTGCTTTCCCTAGCATACTCAGACAAATCATTATTTGTCTCCATATTTTGGTGAACTATTTCAAGTATTTAAGCCGCATCATCCCTGTCCCTTATTTTTGTGTGGAATTTATTAATTAGAGCAGCAGCCACTCTATCATCAAATGTGTAGAAGCCCTGTTAAAGTAATTTTGGCGAAATATTTTAAATTCAGTTTTAAAAATGCCATTCACCACCTTTACTACCCATATCGACACAAAGTCACGGCTCTGGACTTATCAGCATAAGATTCACCATTTGCTGGGGACAACAGTACCCTACAAACTCCATTTGGAATGAGAAGATTTCTTACAGCTATTTCTGCTTGGGATATATGATTTGTGTCTACATTCATAGAAACAAAATCCTGATTTAATATTTCACAGGCCATATTCATGAGCAGCTCTAATGTACTTCTTGGAACTTGCATGGAACTTGCTTGTTCGTCACTATCTATTATATTTACTTGACAGTCTCGGAACTTCAGACAGAATTTGTAGCCAGATAATAATGTATATTTCTTTTTCACTTATACTCTGTTAGTTAATATTATTATTATATGGTATTCATAAAGTATTCCCTCATTATTATTTATTGTTACCAATTTAATATTTCTTTGTGGATAACGGTTCTGGTTACATAAGAACTAAGACTAATGTTATTATATATAATAAGTATTAATAGTTAGTATATGTATAGTAGTTGCTGGCGATAATGATAGTGATATTTTGTCTATGCTTGTTACTACAGAAATCTTCATGGGCCCGCGAGTCCGACTCGCACTGAGCCACTTTTTTTTCAACTTTTTGTTTTTATTTTAATAAATAGTTTTTTCGTTAAAGCGGAGCTCTTTTGCTTTAGATTCATTACTTATATCTATAACAATCAATCTCAATAGGTAAAGTGTGTAAATACGATTCTTAAATTGTAAAAATAATAATTGGATTTATTGGAGGTAGGTATTTAGTTTTATTTATTTAGAAAATATTAATCACACAATTAATTATTGTAATTATATAATTTTATCACACAAATAACGCGCTCATTAGCAGTGTAATGGTATAATAATAATTTTCAAAATCGGTCAAGTAATTTTCGAGATTAGCCAAAAAACATATACATTGAAAGTAGCGCTCTCTATAATAAAATGCATCCTATATTATACATCTATAATTATACATAACAATCTATCTCAGGCTCTCAGGCATCTCCCTTTTAAAACCACTAATTTGATTTCAGTACCGTTTATTAGTCCCCTGAACTTGTTTTATCAAGAATATGTTAGAATTATTACATACACGACTTTTTACAGATTTATATACATGTATGTATAACATCTATAGCAAAAATTAAATTGGAATTTTAGAAACACCAAAATATTTAGATATTTAAGTAGTAGAGCGTGAGCGATATAATGACTGTAACATGAATGAGTCGGCTTGACCAGGAAATAAACACAACACAGCGTAAACTACCAGCTCACGCTGCTTGTATCGTCTGTGGAAAAGGCGAGTGTAGAAAATCGGAGACCTTTTTTACTAGAAACAAATCATTCTAGACGCCCAGACTAGAAACCCAGTCCTCAGGGGTGGCAACGTATCTATATTTCGATTCGAGAAAAGATGTAGATGTTTGCCTTTTATCTTTTGAGAAATAAAATTAATAAAATATATTTCAATAAAATGTTAAGTCCGCCAATTGTGCATTGGGACAACTCGACGTGACTTTCTTGCCGTATAACACTCAGAAATGAAAAGACTACGCCCAACTCTGAGATGTATGTATTTTGTAACTAACTATCAAAAAGTAACGACTGCATTCAATTTTATTTTTTTCGCTTGTAGATCTTACGTATCTCTGTGTTCGAAAAATCGGCGAAAGATTTTTTCTGGAATTTGGTGACGAATACAATGAATGAACGTGAGGCTAAGCAGATCGTCAGACCCGACATGATTCATCTTCTGATGGAGGCCAAGAAGGGTAATATTTTTTATTAGAAGATACTGCACCTTTTTTATAATATTTCAGTGGTATACTAATTATTCAACTACTGGTAAGTGACTTCTGTGACACATGTAACCAATTTCAAATAAAGAAAACAAAATTCATTGTATCCCTGAGGATTCATAAGAAATACCTCTCAGGTCCTAAATATATTTGCTGTCTCTCTATCGGACTACCTCGTTGGTTTAGTGATCATATGCTCGACTGCTCATTATTTTTCTGTCAAGAACTTTGTTTACGACCTACCGTCACTTTATTTTATATTTTTGTTCACGCGATTTGTAATATGCATTGTCATTGTGTCATCTTAGCGTCTGAGTATTGATCACATCTAACATAAAAATTTGTGTTGTAATTAATATAAACCTGTGCTAAAGAAAGTAATGTGTACTTAAATTGCTCATTGTTAACATTCAAGTTGAAGGAAATAAACCGAAAGTTCATATGTATGCAGTTTTATCATTTCACAATTTCAATTGGTGTTAACAAAAAAAACGTAGATGAAAGCCATCAGCGATACATAAAGAGGGAGTTTTATTCATGGTCCTTACGATTGCCGGATATAATATATAACGATACTGGAGAATACTGGCTTTGGAGTTATGACAATATCGAAGTAATTATTGGTGGATTACGACTAATACGTGACATCGAGTTGGGTGTTCTATCATCGTGTTACGTGTCTTCACATCTGCACCTGGAGGTTATTTTGTGTATAAGTGCTGTGAGTGAGTAAATAAGTGGACAAACCGTGAGTACATTCGAGATATCGTAATAATTGGACTTTAATATATTGGGACTTTAAGTGTAAATCGTATATAAAACTTGCTAATTGCTATTACAAAATAAATTGATTTGTACTTTAAAGATTGATGTAATGTGAACTTGTTATATAGTTCAAGGTTACGTGTTTAGCTGAATCTTAAAACAATTATAGTTAAATAATTAAGTACTTAAGTATTATAATCTGTGAATAAGTACGTGTCACTTTATGAACATTGAATTTATAAAATCTATTTCGGATTTTCTATAGTAAATATATTTGATTTATTAGATTACATATTTCAAATAGGTATTTCACGTTGAGATTTTTATAAAGTTTTTTATATATTAATTTCGTTTATTGTAAAAGATGGAAGCTTATATTAAAGTGCAAAACAATATATATGATCGAATTACAAAAGCTAGATCTAATTTTAAGAAATCGCCTAAAGAACGTTTAGCGAATGATGCGTATTTATCGACAAGATTGGATTCGCTTGAGGAACTTTGGTCTCAGTTTTTGCAAACTCACACGCAAATTATTCAAGTTTCGGAAAGCGATAAATTGAACGCTACTACTTATGTCAAAGCTGATACATATGGCAATTGCGAAGAACAATATATCGATTATAAGTATGAGTTGCGGGAAGCTCGAGCTAATTTAACTGTTAAGTCAACTACTGTACATCATGCGCCAGATGGCAGCACCACAGCTACAGATTCGAATCAACAAGGTTTTAAATTACCAAAGATTGCTATCCCACATTTCTCCGGGAAATATGCAGAATGGACGAGCTTTCGAGACCTATTTTTGTCACTGGTACATTGTAACCCTACATTGGATAACGTTCAACGCTTACATTATTTAAAATGTCAACTCACTGGAGAAGCGGAACAGTTCTTGCGACACATACCAATAACTGCAGAAAATTATAATTTATGTTGGAAACAGCTTGAGGATCGGTACAGCAACAAAAAGTATCTTGCCAATTGTATCTTAAAGAAATTTATGAATCAAAAAACTGTAACAACTGAATCAGCTACAGCGTTACGAGAAATATTAGATACTACTAATGAATGTATGTTTACACTTAAAAATTTGTCAATAGATGTAAGTACTTGGGACACTATTGTTATTTATATTGTAAGTTTAAAATTAGATTCCGAGTCCCGTAAGCAGTGGGAACTGCAAAGTAGTAAAAATTGTAATTTATTACCAACATATAAAGAATTTATAGAATTTTTAGAAATCCGTTCACGTTCATTAGAATTTATTGATCCTAAGGTAGCTAAACAAAATAGTCAACAATATAGAACTAATGTTACTCCGAAAGCGTTTCATATTTCAAATTTAAAATGTATTTATTGTTCTGATGATCATCATTTGCGAAATTGTAAAAGTTTTTCAAGAGAAATGACTGATACTCGACGAAATTTTGTCCAATCACAAAATCTTTGTTTTAATTGTCTTGGTGCAGGTCACAATGTATATTCGTGTCGCCAGTCTTCCAGGTGTCGTATTTGCAAGAAGAAACATCATTCCTTATTACATCCCAAAAATGTATCGCTCCCGTCGGGGCCTCAAATGAGTGAGGCAGAACCAGATGCTAAGGAAGCAACAGCATCTACATCAACACAGGTAAAAAATATTAATAATATCAGAGCCTGCTTTTCGCGTTTCAGTGGACAAGTTTTACTTGCCACCGCATTAGTAAATGCCAGATCACACACAGGCTCATTGATCACGTTAAGATGTCTCATTGATCAAGGATCGCAGGCTTCATTTTTGACTGAAGCCGCTGTTCAACTTCTTGGGCTAAGAAAGATTCCACACAAAAGCTCCATTATTGGTTTGGGTAGTGACCACTCAAGTTCTGTTGCCTCTAAAGCGAGGGTAGAAATTGAGATTAAATCACGCCATTGCAACTTTAAAATTTGCGTCCAAGCTTTTGTGCTCAATAAGCTCACCTCAGTACTTCCGGAAATGAATGCTGTTGTTAATCTTAATCCTGAAGTTTCTAAATTAGTTTTAGCAGATCCTTTCTTTGCAACACCAAATAAAATTGACATGCTCCTTGGAGCAGATGTTTATGGTCAGATTTTGCTTGAAGGTCTGATCAAGAATTCACCCAGTGCATTAATCGCACAAAATACACAGCTGGGTTGGATTCTATCGGGTCCAATTCAGTCCAGATCGAGCTCCAGCACTATTTGGTGCAATCATATTCATCAAAATGATGAATACGAACTTATGAAGAAGTTTTGGGAGCTTGAATCGGATCAATTCGCCTCTGATAAATCACTTCTTACAGAGGAGGAAATTAAATGTGAGAGTATATACACATCAACTACTAGGAGAGATAGTTCAGGACGCTATATAGTACATTTACCATTTCGAACCGATGATCCAAATTGCAAATATGGTAATTCAAAGGCTATTGCAATAAAACAATTTAATCGGCTTGAGAATAGTTTATTAAAAAATCCCAAGCTTAAGGCTGAGTATGCTGCTGTCATAAAAGAATATAATAATTTAGGTCACGTGGAAACTGTACCATCTCATGAAGAAGATTCGGCTGATGCTGTATACTTACCTCACCGTGCAGTGATCCGAGAGGATAAGGATACTACCAAGGTCCGAGTTGTCTTCAACGCTTCTTATCCAGGAACCAATGGCATCACGTTGAATGACGAACTTATGGTAGGCCCATCACTACAACCTGACTTACGTCACATTATAATGCGTTGGCGTCAATATCCAATTTGTCTTGTCGCTGACATTATAAAAATGTACAGACAGGTGAAAATATCTGAATTACATACAAATTTTCAACGTTTTGTGTGGCGCGAAGATCCAGATCAAAGATTGCAGCATCTGCGCCTCTTAAGAGTTACCTTTGGTACGGCTTCAGCACGTTATCTCGCTGTGAAATCATTACAGCAAGTTGCACACGACGATGGCACGAAGTATCCGCTGGCTGCTGAAAGGGTACTTCGTGAATTTTACATGGACGATTTTATGTCGGGTTGCTTTTCTGTGGAAGAAGGTAAGCAAATTTATAAGGAAATAACTCAACTTCTACAAGGAGGTGGATTTGTCTTGCAAAAATGGAGCAGTAATAGCGAAGAAATACTTAAAGAAATTAATGAAGATGTTGAAGATCAAGCAGAAAACCTGAAACTAAAAATAGATGAAATCATGAAAATTTTAGGACTTACCTGGAACAGAAGAACCGATGAATTTGAATACGTAGTAAAGCTTCCACAGCTCTCTCCTCCTGTAACAAAAAGAAAGGTTATTTCAGAAATTTCTCGATTATTTGATCCTGTTGGTTGGCTTGCGCCAGTAATAATTACAGCCAAAGTCTTTATACAGAAATTATGGCTCTCGGGAATTGAGTGGGATGATGAACTTCCTCCACAATTACTGAAGGACTGGCTCAAGTATAGAAGTGAATTAGATTCACTTACCAAATTTAGTATCCCACGCTGGATCAACATCAATAATGATGATAAAGTTCGCGAATTGCATGGCTTCTGCGATGCTTCAAATGTTGCATTTGCGGCAGTTGTGTACTTGCGAGTGGTTAACTCCAATGGGGAAGTTAATGTTGCATTAATTGCTTCCAAAACAAAAGTAGCGCCCATTAAACAAGTTTCGATTCCGAGATTGGAGCTTTGTGGAGCTGTACTACTCACAAGACTGCTACTTGAAGTGTCTCAAGCCATGGGTATGGAGAAATGTTCTATTCATGCGTGGACCGACTCACAAATTGTGCTCGCTTGGCTTCAAGGACAACCTAGTCGTTGGAAAACCTTTGTTGCCAACCGCGTGTCGGAGATTATTACTTCGCTGGAACCGCAGCAATGGCAACACGTATCTACCAAGGATAATCCTGCAGATTGTGCATCGCGCGGCAGTACGCAATGGGATGTTCAACTCTGGAAGGAAGGGCCGAAGTGGCTGCAAGAAAAGGATATAAATTTTGCAAGAGGTCAAATAGAAGATACAGATCTAGAAGAAAGAAAAATGAAAATTTGTTTAATTAATACTCACAGTGATGAAGCAGATCCCGAAGAAGAAATATACTCACGGTTTTCATCTTTGAGAAGACTGCTCCGCGTTACTGCACTCTGTAAAAGACTAATTAAAAGAATGAGAAAAAAGGAAGTAGAGGATCAGAAGGATTGGATAACAAGTTTTGAAATTAGAGAAAGTTTAAAAATATGTGTTAAAAGATGCCAAGAAAAACATTTCGGTGAAGAGCTTGCAGATTTAAGAAATAAAAAAGAAATAAATAAGAAAAGTAAGCTTACCTCACTCAATCCAACAGTTGACGAAGACGGTATCCTACGAGTAGGTGGCAGACTGCAGCAGGCAATCCTTAGTGATGAGAGAAAACATCCTATCATTCTTCCTCGCAAATCACAGTTTACAACTTTGATTATTGCGGATGCTCATGAGAGAACATTTCACGGCGGTCCCCAATTGATGCAAAATTATTTGCAATCAAAATACTGGATAATAGGTGCGAAGGATTTAGTACGACTGTGTGTTCGTAAATGCGTCCGTTGTGTACGATATGCCGCTCGTATAAGACACCAGTTGATGGGACAACTACCGGTTGAAAGATCTACTGCTTGTCGACCTTTCTTAAAGAGTGGAGTAGACTATGCAGGGCCTATTAATATAAGAACCTCTAAAGGCAGAGGTAATCGGTCATTCAAAGGATATATTTGTTTATTCATTTGTATGGCCACACGTGCTATCCATCTCGAAGCAGTAAGTGACCTTACAGCTCAGGGATTTCTAGCAGCGTTTAAGCGTTTTATAGCACGCCGTGGTCATTGCGCTGAAGTATGGAGCGACAATGGGACAAATTTTGTGGGTGCAGCACGAGAACTCAAATCTTTATATGCTCATGAGAGGTCCAGTATAGGGAAGGAAATCGCAGATCAACTGGCTACAAATGGGACTGAATGGCATTTTATCCCTCCCCATTCCCCAAATTTTGGAGGACTATGGGAGGCAGGGGTAAAATCGACGAAACATCATTTAAGGCGCATTGTTGGCAATTCAACTTTGACATTTGAAGAAATGACAACATTACTTTGTCAAATAGAATCTTGTCTGAATTCTCGGCCTATTTCTAAAATTACTGAGAATCCAGACAATCCAATCCCACTTACACCAGGGCACTTTTTGGTGGGAGAACCTCTGGTTTTACCCCCTGATGTCAATTACGAAACATCTAATATCACAAATCTCAGACGGTGGCAAATGACTCAAAAAATGACACAAGATTTTTGGCGTCGTTGGTCAAATGAATATTTGACTCAGTTTTACCATCGTTATAAATGGAATAATATTGTTCCTGAACCTACAAATGGAGATTTAGTGTTAGTAGTGGAGGATGATCTTCCACCTGGAAGATGGTTATATGGTATTATAGTTGAAAAACATCCCGGATTGGACGGAATTACGCGAGTTGTCAGTCCAAAATGTAAAAACAATGTAATTAAACGACCTGTTTCTAAATTGTGTTTTTTGCCAATTACCAACTAATGTTGATTTTTTTGTTGGCTCTCGAGCCTCATATGTTCGTTTTAGCACGTATTAGTAAGAAAGCATGCAATGTGGTAATATTTTATTTTGTATTTTTTTTTGTGTTTGATGTTAAATTCTCGTAAAGATTTTCGTTAGTATTCATGTTTTGATCGGTTAGTTGTCTTAAGGAAAATTTTTGAAAATTTGTCCTTGGTGGGCTGTATGTTTACGACCTACCGTCACTTTATTTTATATTTTTGTTCACGCGATTTGTAATATGCATTGTCATTGTGTCATCTTAGCGTCTGAGTATTGATCACATCTAACATAAAAATTTGTGTTGTAATTAATATAAACCTGTGCTAAAGAAAGTAATGTGTACTTAAATTGCTCATTGTTAACATTCAAGTTGAAGGAAATAAACCGAAAGTTCATATGTATGCAGTTTTATCATTTCACAATTTCAATTGGTGTTAACAAAAAAAACGTAGATGAAAGCCATCAGCGATACATAAAGAGGGAGTTTTATTCAAACTTTTCATTAACAGTCCGTTAGAAAGCTGGTACTATTTTAACCCATACATTAACAATTTATTAATAGTGTGCTCATGCACAGGAGAAATTTCTATTCCGTCACTCTAAAAATCAGTTATTTTGGAAGAATCAATTATTTTGGAACGTGAATTCCAATTCGGGAAACGGCAATCGATGTAAGACACGTGTGATTTCTAAGGACTTCACCGTTGGAGCTTAGTGAATTTAGATGCTTATACACTCGCTATATGTATAGATGAATACATACATTTATCATGCCAATCGGCACTTTTAGTCACCCCACACGCTGCAACATATATAACATTTAAAATTCGTTACAAACAAACTTGATTTTTTAAGACACTTAACTGCAAAAAAGACCCTATGGTGGTGGCGTATTAGACTTTGATTTTTCTTTATAGAATAAGGGTGATAAATGAGCACACAGTCTACCTGATGGTAAGAAGATGCTGTAGCCCATAGATCTAAATCTATCCTCGACCAAGAATCGAAATGCAGATTGGATGTCATTCCTTGTCGATGTTTCATCACCGTGTCTCGAAAATAACGTAGCGTTGGTCCTGCGCCTGATCTCTCTCCCGTCGCGTCAACTTACTTTTCCATCGGAATATGAGATTAAGGGAATAGAAAGTGCATCCGTGCTTGCGCATACACTCGGACACCATATGCCTATCCTGAGCAGATGAATATTGTCCGTTGAAGATCGCCGTGACAGAAGATATGTAAGACATTATTAATTGTATTTAATGAGTTTTTTTATAGGCGACGACGTTTTTATAGCAAACGAGCTTACGACTCACCTGATGGTAAGTGAAAGTGGGCGGCGGGCCCATGAGCAACTACAATAACAGGGGAATTGCAGATGCGTTGCCGGCTGTTTTAAAAAGGAGTAATGCCGTTGCGGTTTTAAAAAGGAGTAGGCTCCTTTCTTGAAGGTCGCTAAGTCGTACCGGTCCGGAAAAATCTCTGGTGGTAGTCAATTCTACAAGGAAGTTGTGCGAGGAAGAAAACTTGTTTTAAATCGCATGGTGGTTGACCGCCAGTTACGCAAATGGTATGGATAATATCGTGAGTTTTATTGCGATATGCAGTGGTGAAATTGTGCGGCTGGAATTAGTCCGAACAATTCCTCAGATTACTCCCCGTGGTAGATACGATAAAATACGCAAAGAGATGCTATATCTCTTCACAGTGCCAGTGAGTCAAGCTTATCGGAAATAGCTCAGTCACCGACGATTTGAACAAATCTGCGCTGGATGCGATCAAATGGAAGGAGCTGGCACTGGGGAGCCACGGCCCAGAGGTGGAAACAGTATTACATGTGCGGCCGAACCTGCGCCTTGTAAAGTTGCAGGCGGTGTGCCGACATGAAATACCGTCCCGCTCTGCTGAGCATGCCAAGCTTTTTAGAGGCCAATTTAGCCTTCTCTTCCAAGTGACCACGAATGACCACGAAACTGCACGTCACTCGATATGTCGACGCCTAGGATTCCGACACTGGCTGAAGCAACAAGGGGAGTGCCTTGAAACTGAGAAGATACGACAAAGGGGTTCTTTTTAGCGGTTAACGCGTAAACTTGTGTCTTCTGGGGGTTAAACTGGACTAGATTTAGTTGCCCCCAATCCAAGAATCTATTCAGCGAAGACTCGACTTCAGACACAAGTTTTGTCCCGGTACTCGGTGGCGTTTTCCCGAGAACGGCCAGTGTAAAGAGCATTACTAATGCTGTCATCTGCATAGCAATAAATATTACGGGTTTGCAACATATCATTGATATGCATAAGAAGCAGCGTTGGCGATAGCACGCAGCCTTGTGGAACACCAGCATTAATAGGCTTGTAATCGGAGCTTGCACCGTCTACAACAACCTTGATGCCCCAATCAGCAAGAAAACTTGTAATCCAATAGCACAATTTCTCGGGAAGCCCATAGGAAGGAAGCTTCGTAAGAAGCGTTTTGTTCCAAATCTGACCGAAGGACTTCGCTTTGTCCAAAATAAAGGCCCACATCTCCACCTTGAACTCCACTGCCTCCACCTATTTATGAGTAAGGTAAACCAAAAACCAAAAGATCACCAGTCAAGCGATCGCGACGGTGGCTGTTACATGACGCGTTAAAACAGGTGCCAACTCCGGAGCACACATCTTCAGCACAATAGGTCTAGTCTAGTAGGAGTATGTATATATATATATATATATATATATATATATATATATATATATATATATATATAAAGTCTAATTTTATACAGTAAAGTGGTCTATATTATGTTCTTCCATGTTTTTCAGTCTTGGCTGATGGTGTCGAAAGTATCGAAGTAGTCTCACCACGTCTTGCTGTCGTTCTCTACGTTATTTTCTTTCTTTTATCATTAATTATTTATAATTTACATTGAAAAAAAATTATTCTATTCTATTTTTTTCCAAGGTCGTTTAACTCACGAAGACAAAGGTGCTATCGACCCGGATGCTGGGTTCGCAACTGTTGAAGAATCTTCTGTGGGAAAAAAGAATATAGATCGTGGTAAGTATTGGGGCAATGTTTGATTTTAATTGTTGATTTTTTATGTAACATTTAACGGATATAAAATGCCTTATCCTCATCTTTCTAAGCCTATCTTCCTTTTTAACCGCCTGGACAAGGAGTTTTATGTGTAGACAGAGGCGTTTTCAGGTGCACAGGCAAATCATGTTCGCATCATTTAATGAAGCGACAATCAGATCAATTGCATTTTATAATATTTACTTATTGACACAATAATAAAAATAATATTACAATAGCTATCCCACAAGAAAACCTTTATAGAAAAGGTACTTCAATACCTTCTTACAGGCCGAGACGAACCGAGTTAGCATTTTATAAATGCGGTTTCAGTCCTAAACGTCATAAATGTAAGTGTGTCAAAAATATGGAAACCCATATTAAGTCATATTAGCGGTAGAAAATTAAGGCACAGCTACAATGCATGAACAACATACTTACCTTGGGCTTATAATCGATAGTCACCTTAGCTGGAAAGAGCATATTGACCATATATGCGACAGACTTCGAGGAATTCTGGCCAAATTCACATTAATAAAATACAAAATACCATACGATATAAGAATACAATTATAAATCTCATTAGCAGAATCTATAATATCGTATGGTCTTTCTAGCTATGGTAGGACCTATAAAACACACCTACACCGAATTTACACCTTACAACTCCGTATTTTAAAAATTCTAGTACTTATGAAATAATACCAAAAAGTGTTACAAATAAATTTAAAGACCAGCAACATAATGTCATTGAATTCTGAAAAATATTACCTGTACATAATAAAGTATATATTACTTATTGAAAATTACTTTAATAAAAATATACAAATTCCAATACAATATAATTTTAACACACGACAGTCAAAGAAAATCACCTAGGCAGAAATGGAATTGTACCTTAGCATTACTAAAATACATAAATCTATAAGGAAAACGAACATTAGAATACATGATTCCCGATATCATAAACAAACATCCATCACAACTAAAAAAAAACAAATTAATCAACGCAACATCAAAAATATATTAAAGAATTACTTCTTAAGTAACTTATAATAAGTATTGTAAAATAAAAATAATATATTATAAGCTACACATTAATACTATAAAAACTTATGTTACAATAATAATTAATAATATAAAATAAGTTTATCTTTAATATCATTAATTAGTATCAAATTATTTGAACAGCCTGTTCATGCGAACTCGACGCGTCAAGCCAGGTAGGCAAATAACACCACCGAGAGCAAACCAGTTTATTGACTGTAACGGAGAGCGCTGTTCAATGCGTGCATCACAACAATAAGATGTATGACATAATTATTAGGCGTAATAATTATCATGCTAATTATGTTGATGGCATCGGTATACGGTAAAGCTGTATAGCTTATGTTTATACTGTAAAATACCAATCTAAATATTGTAAAATTATTATCAAATAAATAAATAAAATTAAAATAAATACTCATGGAGAAAAATTAAAGGAATACAAAAAAGTGTGTATAAAAAATATCATGGATATTTGTGATAATTGATTTTATTAAATTAAAGTTTGCTTATTATTCCTTAATTTGTAACGTCACAAAGACAAACTATCAAATGACTAAACTTAAGCAAATTAAAAAAAATACAGGACAGAAACATGTTTGTACCTGCTACTACTACTGCTTAGGAAGTATAGGGCTATAATCAGTATCATGTGTTGCCTCTTCTAACTCTTCGAACTGCTTCCAGTCTCCTTAGCACACTTATAAGAACTACAAACGAGCACAGAGTCCACGTGATGGTTTGTATATAGATGATGTGGCCCATTCAAAACTATATTTATCCTCAATTAAGAATCAAAATGCAGATGCGTTGTCGGTCCTGAGGACTAAGATGTAATGCATAGTTTCTAGTAAAAAGGGTCTCCGGTTACTCTACGCCCCCCATACAAAATACAGCAGCACTAAGCTGCCATTTTTTGACTCCAAGCTTCGTCAATCATATCTACGTAATTACGAGGAAAATGAACTTGAACTTACTCGATGGCATGTGGCAAAAAATGGGCCTTTGGCAAGCATGTGTGAATTTATTCCTGCCAATTTCAGTCCTTTTCTCACATTTTTGTGCTTTCCACTTTACATTGCATTTATTTAAAAAAACTAAAGTGATAACTTACAGTCCACCTGATGAAAAGTGGACACTGCATGGACAGCTGTGAACTACATGAAACATAGAAGGTTATAGATGCGTTTTAATCTCTGAAGCTGGAATGCGTCAGCCTGTAGTTAAAATGGATCGCTGTACTATTCAGACCGGAATACTTCAGTGCACAATCTTATGGCGGCAGAAATATGTTAGAGACTGGTACTTACTTAGACGCAGCCCTAGGCAGAAATGGAATTGTACCATCTGGAGTTATATTATACTATTATACCATAACTTGTAATGACGGTAGCAATTGGTAACTAGCCAAAATTGCAATAACGTAGCTATCCGGTTATTTGTGGTGAAAATAACCAGCTAATTAGCTATTTGGATAAATGACTCACTAACCAACTGATAGTTGATACTGTTAACGTAGCGTAGCAACTGTAGCTAGGACTTGAATAACGCTCAACTGCCCCGTGATTACGTTCGCATCTCGCCGCGAAACATATTTGTATTTAGATAAATAAAAATAATAACCTTAGTTTTTATTTCTTTATTTTACTTATATATGATACTATATTATTTTACTTCCTTGAAAAGAAATGAATTTTCCTAATAACAATGTCATACGTATTATTAGATTTATTCATTAAAAATTATCTACATTTTGCAGTGCCATCTATATCTATGGGTATGAATTAACCGCGTCTCCACATTATCGCCGTGAAGCTCCGTGAACAGGCGTGAACGTGAATTTGGGTGGTTTTCGCAGGATTTACGGGCGTTCACGCCTGTTCCCCGACCAGAGTCGGTATTTTGTTCCGCGACAAAGGACACATCCACCACTCACGGCCCGCCAGTTTGTTCGTTTGAGAATACAAACAGAGGCATACGGACGATGTATTTTAGTCATACACTATCTTTTCACTTTCTTTTTTCCAACGCTTTCTAATAAATTTCTGGGTTTGTACGTCTAAATAGTGATATGATGCCACAGTAAATAAAGTTATTGCAGCAGCAGGTTCTACGTCCGTTTCGCGCTGGGTTTCACGAACGATTGTGAGCATCCCGTGAATGTGGAGGGCACGACTTGTGCCGTGAATTCATGGCGTGAATTCGCGCGTGAATTCACGGCGATAATGTGGAGCCGCCATAAGAAGCTGTTGTAACGTCAGACTTAATTATGTTATACAACACTCAACAGTATAAGCGAATGAAGATTGCGGCGATCGCAAGTGCCGTTGCCTAGTTATTGTGTACTATTCCCCATATCGTTCCGAGGTTTCGTCGAGAGACGACAGAGGTAAACTAAAACAGGAAATGGGCGCTGCTGCTGTTTTCTTTTGAGTTATTATCTTCCTAATAATAAAAACTGTGGCTGCCTACTCTCCTGTCAACCGTGGCACTTATGGCAAAATCCACCCTATGAGGCAATCCAATGGGGGAGGCCTGTGTCCAGCAATGAACTTTTATAGGCAGTAATGAACGGATGGATTATACAATATTCTTGTTTTACTATATTAATATTAACTATAGTAAATAATATAATGTATTAATTTTTAATATTTAATCCTTTAGTGTGGACTGACATCGACATAGTGGCTCAAGCAGTGCTGTTCTTTATTGCTGGATTTGATACTGTTTCGTCTGCTATGTCGTTCGCGCTTCACGAAATAGCTGTGCACCCTGACGTCCAGCAGCGTCTGTACGAAGAAATTAAGGAACACAACGATAGGAACCGTGGATGTTTAAATTACAATTCCATACAGAGTCTGAAATATTTAGACATGGTTGTGTCAGGTATGATTAATTATTTTAATTTACATATGTTTTCAACATTTATTCTATTTTAACACTAGCAATGCCTTTAAAATTACACAAACACTCCAGGAAGGCTTAAAATGCCTGTGTTAGGAGTGGCTCACGACAGTAGTCTAATGGTGGATTTGAATCCACTACTCGTCGGTACGATCCACTTCGCAATCCGCACTCTATCATTAGGCTATTGTCACGTAATTATTATATTATTTATGTATACACATTTTTTAAAGAATAAGGGTAAGAAACGAGCACACAGTTCACCTGATGGTAAGTAGATGCTGTGGCCTATAGACATTACATTGTCACCACTGAGGACTAAAATTAAATGCCTCGTTTCCAGTAAAAAAAGGGTTCTCTACACTCATCATACGAAACACAGCAGTATTAAGCTACTATTTTACGCTAGCATTCTGTGAGAGCGTGGTCCTTCCCCGGTCGAGCCGACCCATTCGTGCTTCAACCATAATATAGTTGCGGCGTGGCTCTATCACGTATAAAATAATATTGAAATAATATTCAAATGTCTGTCTGTAAATTGGATTAACTTTCTCTATTGCTTATAATACTATTAACATATAAGAGAGAAAGGAATAAAGAGTGCCGGGTGCACTGTCCATTCCTTTTCTCTTCGTATTCACTTGCGTATTTACTCGAGCACTAAAATTGTGTCTTGCGCAGATGGCTATACAAGGCTATGGCGGAATAGTCTACGCTGTGACTTGCATCTTAGGGCGATACCCTGACCAAAACCTTGCGGTATTGCGTTTTTCAGAGACTATTATCTCACTAGTTATGAGAAATAAACTACATCTAAAAGCACATTATTAATGTTCGATATCCTGTCATCACATACAATATAACATAAAAACAAATTAATATACATAAAAACAAATTAGAACGTTGAATCGTTCTAATTTGTTTTTATGTATTATAAGTACATTTAAAATCATCTTTTAAAAAACGACCAAAATTATTGATAACATGCACCTCTTGCTAAAGGCAACGCTCTAATCGTTTGAGGATGACAATAATAGATAGATAATTTTTACGTTAAGTTCATGTTTCTTTTTTAATTGAAATGATTCCAAAAATTTGGGCGCTTTTCTTAACGCGATATATTATTGTAGCGAGAGCGCGTGGATTGTATAGGACCGAACGCTCAAGATCGTTCGCTAGGAGTAGCGCCTTAAGAAAAGCCAGTTATTTCAATATTACACAACAAACACTTCAATTTAAATGTATAAATAAATATACAATTGAATAATGAGGATAACATTAATAAGGTATTATTGTGAAATTGAATTTAAACCGAAGATATTTTAATATTAATTCTGTGATCTTTCAGAGGTGCTGAGGTTGTGGCCTCCTGTCGTTGCATTAGATAGAATTTGTATCAAAGACTATAACTTACAAAAGCCAAACAAACATGCCACGCAAGATTATATAGTAAGTAACAGCTACGTTTTAAGTTAAATTTATACATAATATATGTGTATATTATAATTATTTATGCATACATATGAATATATGATTTCCTGCTTAGAAAGAAATTTGAAAATTCTTTTGTACCAGGTGCAACATGTCATTGCAGTAAACCAATTTTTGATAATAAATATGCGTGGGCAACTCAGAAAGTTGTATAAACGGTGGTGGAGTCTCTTGAGGTCCACTACATGGCTTATATATACCAGGCGGTCCCATAATGAACTGGCCTGATATAGTTCAACGCGACATATCGCTACATGTTGTGTTGCATTAAATAGAACGTTTATCGTGCACTTAATATAAAAAACATGCATCGACATGAAATGCTTAGTCTTAGTTTAACAGGCATTTGAATAACGAGAGTCGCGTATTTTTTCAAAATGTCGAAAACTGAGTATCGAAGTGTCATAAAGTTTCTGTTTAAAGAAGGTTTATCCCCTGCCCAAATAAAAGAACGATTGGATGACGTGTATAAGGAGTCTGCCCCCTCCTATAGCACAGTGAAAAATTGGGTGAAAGAGTTTCGCCTCGGGAGAGAAACCGTCGAAGACTTTGGCCACGACGGTCGACCTGTGGAAGTGCTCACTCCCGAAACGATTGCTCTTATCGAAGAGGAAGTTCTGAGTGACCGCCGTTTGAAGATTAGAGAAATTGCAGCAAGGATTGGGCTCTCTAAGAGTACCGTTCATCGCGCGATCCATGAACATCTTCACATGAAAAAAGTGAGTGCAAGATGGGTACCGAAACTTCTTTCAGCGGTACAGAGACAGGAAAGAGTGCGCTGCGCTTCGGAGTTTTTGGATCTTTGTGGCGAAAATCCAAAGAGTGTGATCGAGCGGCTAGTGACTGGTGATGAAACTTTGTATCTTGTATTATGATCCAAAAGCAAGCGCGAGTCAATGGAATGGCGTTATAAGGGTGAAAAGCCCCCTAGAAAGGCAAAGGTGCAACAATCGACTAAAAAACTGATGTGCACAATATTTTGGGATTTTCAAGGCATTTTGATGGTGGATTTTAAAGAATGTAATACAGGCGTAAACGGCGAATATTATGCTTCTTTAATATATAAATTACGAGACAAGATAAAGGAAAAACGAAGAGGCAAGCTGTCTAAAGGTGTCCTGTTGCTCCATGACAACGCCCCTGTTCATACCGCTGGTGTTTCGAAGGATGCAGTTCGTCAATGCGGGTTCACAGAAGTTCAACATCCATCTTACAGTTCAGACATGGCCCCGTCCGACTATTATTTATTTCCAAATTTAAAGCGGGACTTAAGAGGAAGAAAATTTTCAAGCGATGAAGAGTTGCAGGCGGCCGTCTTCAGTCATTTTGAGGATAAAAAATGTGATTATTTTTATAAAGGTTTAGAGATGTTGATTCACAGATGTCAGAAGTGTGTTAGTATTCATGGTGATTATATTGAAAAATAAAATTGGTTTCGTTTCATTTCCTTCATTGGTTCATAGTTAGGCCAATTCATTATGGGACCGCCTACGTATATATATATATATATGTATATATATATATATATATATATATATATATATATATATATATATATATATATATATATATATATATATATATACTCTATTTACTACGCACTGCATACTTATTTATTATCACTTATATTAAAAATTTTACTGAATACGATATCAACCGTTTCAATGACAATGTCCGTTTATATATTTTTTTAAATTTATTACTGATTTTGTACTGTTTTGTTATGTGTTGTGTGTTTCCCGATTTAATAAAAGATAGTGAAGACTTCAAGATACCATAAGTTCATACTGCATAGATCGGAACAAAAGTTAAATTTTAATCTATGGTAACCGCGGTTAACTATGACATATGGACGTTGAACATCTCAGTCCTGCCCGTGACCATGAGTGCTGTAAAGCGTTCGAAACGTCGGGTATTTAAAAGTTAAATATACGCGATAAATTCCGTAAAAACTAGTATTATTTCAAAGATAGTGAAGTTATACCTTTACTTATATGTGATAGAACATTAGACCCCGCCAATTTTAAACCAATTTATGCACTAAGTAGGACACTCAATAAGATTTGAGATATACAAAACGTATTCTAGATACTATTAATATTTATTTTACATCTTTTCATCCACCATGCTCTATACAAAGTTTCATTCGCCTAAACCAACTCTAAACCAAATCTGACAGGTCAAAAATCGCTTTTTCGTAGGCAGCCACGGCTTCTTCGGCGCTTGAAAAAAACTCGCCTTTTATTTTTTCTATGGCTCTTGGGAACAAAAAGAAATCTCAAGGAGCTAAGTCCAGGCTGTAGGTTGGGTAACTTAAAGTTTTAACACCAGATTCCTCCACCACCACCACCCGAGAAAAGAGGTATGTGAAGAGGTGTTATCGTGATGCAACATGATTCCCCGAAGCCCGGTCTTTGGTCTTCTCTCCCGCACAGCTTGAAAATCTTTGGGTATTGCAACTGTAGTATACCATTCATAGTTGACTGACCTACAATTGTCTAGCATTGACGTCCACAAATGTCCGCTCCGCGAAAAAAGACTAGCCACCATTTTTTTGCCCACGTTGCGAGGTCTTTGCAGTTTTGTCCGTAACTGTCCTTGTAAGTAGACCCATACCGATGATTGCCTTTTATTTTCCAGATCATATTGAAAGAGTTATGTCTGGTTACTAATAACAATTTCTGAAACACGCCTAGATGCCCCGTTTTAGAAAACGTACGACGCATTTCATGGCACCAATCCACACGAGCCTGTTTTTCGCTTTTTGTCAGAGGTGTCTGTCTTTAGCAAACGAGGGATCCATCGACAACAAAGCTTCCTAACTCCAAGATGTTGATGAAGGATGGTATAAATGCGCCCCGAACTAATGCCAAAAATCTTTTCAATGTCCGTATATATTCGTGGGTCTTCTCGCGCCAACCTTTCAGTAGTCCATACATTTTCTGTCATTATTGCTGTTTGCGGGGCCTCGTTTCTTTGGTCATCTTTATGGTTAATTTCACCTCTTTGAATTCAGCAAACCACCTAAAACTTGTTGCGCGTGATGAAGCTAAGTCCTTTAATGCCGATTGTAACCGTTGTAAACTTAATGGTTCAGTTAAACTAAATTTAAAATCATAATAGATCATAGCGCGCAAATGTTCACGGTTAAGATCCATCGTTTTAAATGAAAAGCGCGGGAAGCGTTGCAGAAAAATTAATAGAACTTAGTTTATTTTTAATATTAAGCAATTGGCTTATTGGGTTCTATTTTTAAATAAATTTGCTTTTTATAAACATATAACATGTTGCGTTCCGTATATAAATTTCGAGCAACTCAAAACTTATTGAGTGATCTATGTACCAACATTAAATATAAAAAATTGAAAAAAATTAATAATTTTAGATAAGATGTTAAGTTTTTTCAATATAAACAAAAAAAAATTAAAGTAAAGTTACAGCCTATATACGTCCCACTGCTGAGCACAGGCCTCCTCTCATTATTTCTGAGAGGGTTTTAGGGCAAGGAAGTGTCCACCGCGCTGCCCCAATGCGTGTTGGTGAACTTCACATGTCTTCGAAATATTTTTTTTCTTATTTCTCTGACATGCAGGTTTCCTCACGATGTTTTCCTTCACCGCCGAGCACGTGGTAAATAACAAATTGCTTCATTGAAATCGATTTGGCATTAACAAGGTCGGCCGACAATTGACGCCTGAGTTGAGCTTATTAAGCATATTTATTGTGTATGGGAGAATTTGTGGGATGTTTTGGGTATATTTTGTGACCTATTCAAGGCCTTCGCCTGTGTTCACCATGATACATTAACCAGGAAGCTACAGAAATATGGTGTCAAAAGCACAGCGCTTAAACTAATTATTTCATATTTAAGTAATAGAATGCAGAAAGTTATTAGTTTATTATATTACCAATGGTAAAAGTTCTTCCGGGTCACCTGTACTAATGGGTGTTTCTTCAAAGCTCAATTCTCGGCCCATTCTATATCTATTCATATCTATATTTAAAAATGCTATATCAAAATTAGCGCATTAGTTTAAGGCTAATAATCTAAATTTAAACGGCAATAAAACTATAAGTATTAAATTTTCAACACCTTATGTTTAAAATCTGAATACCCATGTGTTTTTAAATGTGAATGAACTTAACCCTGTTAAATCCGCTGTCTTTCTTGACATCACTCTCGACGCAAATTCAATGTGGCCCTCATATATCCAAAAAGCAAGCAGACTAAGCTCTGCAGCTCATGCTGTAAAAAAGGTTAGAGGTCCCACTTGTGTCGGGGAAGCTAGATTAATTTATTTTATAGCGTAATTTCGACTGATTTAGAACGAATTTTATTTTGCAGAAGAGGGCCATAAAACTATTTAAAATCTAAAACCGAGAGAGTATCTTAGAGAAAAATTTAAATAAATAAATACACATTGATATTTATATCAACTTTGGTCTCTCAGTATATTTACGAAATTTAAAGTATGTTCACAAAAATTAAAGTAGTTTTAGTCAAAAATTGATATATACTTTTTAAACACTAGGAACAAGCACAAGTTGGTGCTACCAGTTTCTCGACTCCACAGAGTCAGTAATTAATTTTTTGGGCAATGTCTACGCTATTACAACAAAGTCCCAGAAAATATACAAGGTTTTTTAATAAATAAATTAATAAAAATTTAATAAAATAATTTGTTCTAGAGAAAAAGTCCGTAAAGTCAAGGCAAGGTTTTTAGTAACAATTTTCTTATAGGTTATAATAATATTATTGTTAGTAATAACTTGTCAATACCAAGTTTAAATGTTTTACTAAACAAAGCCTAATATAAACGAATACACGTTTGATAATGACACCTGGGAATGACGTGCTCGATTCCAAGCTGTTTCTAAAATAAATTTTATAGATAAACAAAATTTATTTAGGTGCACTTTTTATATAATTTACTTTAAAGGTACTGGTTCTCCCTATGACAGAGGTTTTTTTACCGAACCAGTAAGAATAACATGTAATCTATATTGAATTAAAAAAAATATTCTATTCTATTCTATTTTATTATACAAATTTTGTTCAGGTTCATAAAGGTGAATCGGTTATGATACCCGTGTGGGCGATCCACCACGATCCCGAATACTATCCAGACCCGGAGAAATTCGATCCGGAGCGATTCTCTGAAGAGAATAAACATCTTATCAAACCATTCACCTATGTTCCATTTGGTCTTGGCCCTAGAAATTGTATAGGTGAGTGTTTTTTTTTTCTCAATGTTTTTGGGAATTTCGACTTTAAAGGTATAAAAGCTCACGTGCCCTTTCTAATGGTAGCCATACATTCTAGGGTGTACTTGACAGGTTTTTACAAATGAACTATACAGCTAAACCGGAGCATGTACGTTGCATAACTGCTACATGTATGTCCTCTACTTCACTCAAGCAAGGATGGATGTAATTATACAGGCAAACCTTACAGGTACACCTTAGCATGTTGCATACCATAAACGGCTCACGTCTGAGCATGTGTGATGATATATATTTCATAAAATATATTAACGACAACTGATGCAGGTTACGACAGTCTGGGCCAGGCGCATGTCTAAGGTGAGTATGCACTTACCACGCCATTGGCTCTGTGGTAGAATATCAACCGAAGTCAACATTTGTGCAGACACACAAATTGTTTCCTTTGTTTTCGGGTATGAGCGATTAGATCCATCTCAATCGTTAAGATTGGTGGTACCACACATTGGACTCAGCTGTCCGTCATCGGTCTGCATATTTTACGTCCGATGTAATTATTTACGATGATTATAATTAAACAGCTATCTTCCGGATACCATTATATGATTTTTTATTTAGGGTGTTTATTTTGATCAAGGGTGACAAACTAGCATACAGTCCACCTGATGGTAAGTGGATGATGGGGCCCATAGACATCTACATTTTTTCTTTGTTAAAAATCCAATTGCAGATGCGTTTTCACTTCTGATGCCTAAGATGAAATGCCTCTGGTCCAGTAAAAAATATCTCCGATTCTCTATAGTCACTATCAGAGACACAGGAGTATTAAGCTGCTATTTCACGCTTGTGTTCTGTATGAATGTGGTCGTTTTCCAGTCGAACTGAACTATTCGTGCTACGATAATATAGCTGCAGCATTGCTTAACCATGTGTAAATTTATTTTGGATTTGTAAATTATTATGTTTATAGGACTCAGAAATAAACTAATTATAAATTTAAAATAATTTAATATCACAGTTGGAATTAATACTGAGAAATACGTTGAGATTACACATGACGCGACATATCGGCATGATTTTCCGGTTTTCTATGGGGCTACGGCCTGCTTACCAGAACTTGTGTCCATGATCAGGTTTATGCCGAATATATTTTTCAGGCACGCAAACGTGCCATGTACACATATGATTATGAAAGGAAGGAGAATCTTTTCAATATCTTGTAGGCGATCTTAAGTTGGTTGGCCAATCACCTACTAACTTCAAACCATTTTAGTGTCTATCAAATTCAACTGATGAATGTTGGCCTCGCCATAGATTGCCTCACATAAGGGATATCTGTAACAATTGCTAACCTTGTCGGGCAGTTGGAGGCTTGTGGCAGGCAAGGCCGATAAAACTGCTACCAGTTGACAGGTTTAGCCAATTTTTTGCTCCTATTTTGGTGCTGGCTTTCTGAAACAGCCTTTATGTGATTTGTGACTAGAAACAAAATCTATTAATGCATCTTGTCTTTAAAAATCATTGTATCACTGTAATTATGGTAACATTAAGACTAAAATTATGCTACTGGTTGCTAAGTTCAGCCAGTTTTCCAGCAACAAATTGTAAACAAACTTGAACCAATTATTTGACCTAATTACATAGGTTTGATTATTTTACTGCAAGCTTGATATAAAGTAACAATACCTTGTTGTTTTAGGAATGGTTTAGATGAAAAATCTATTTTTGAAACTAATTCCACATAATCGATTTTTAGGAACTGTTAGCTATAACTTCAATGCTGACTTTTCACTGCTAGCTTTATAGACGTGTATTGTTTCCATAGGTTCCAGGTTTGCGTTATGCGAGATAAAGGTAATGCTGTATCAGCTTCTCCTGCATATGGAGTTGTCTCCGTGCAAGAAGACCTGCATACCAGCAAAACTCTCGACCGGTACCTTTAACATTATTATGCAAGGTGGACACTGGTTCAAAGTGCGATGTAGAACATAATAAAATAGAATTGTGTTAGATTTATTCATAGATAGAACACTGAAAATTGTAAAAGTAACTTTATAATGATTTCTCACCCAAATATGATGTAGTGCACGGGAATAAACGCTATTAAATTCGTAACAATCATTTTATTAAACCCCGGAGCATTGCTGCCCCAGAAAAAATAATTGTGGCAATATGCTATTATAGGCTGGTATTCTCTACAACTGTGGTCCTACCCCGGTCAAGCCTAGCCATTCGTGCTACAATCTTAATATAGCTGCTTCATGGCCCTACCGCGTATACCTACCGTTACAACCCATTAAAGTCCACTGCTGAACATAGTCCTCTCCAGTTAATTAGCACATAGGTTGCCACGCTTGGAAATCGCTGTCTTTTTAATCGCTGTTGCGAAGACGCTGCTGCCATCTCCTGATTTGATTCCCTCTTTTGCGACACCCACGGGATGATATGGGGTAGTGGATATTCTAACACAAATTTTAAAAAAAGAAGTCATATAATTTTCAGTATGCATATAACAAATAATATTATAACTTCTATGAAAAAAAAAGGTCAAAATAAAGTTACGCTTTTTAATAATCATCAACATTTATTCATTATTGAATCTTGTTTAGGTTATTATTTATTATATTGAATATTATGTAGTTTAGTTAATAACACTTTTTTGATCGAATTTAAGTGCCTAAAGTACCTTCATTAAAACAATATCTTAATTATCGTTTCATACACATAATAAATGGAGTGACGACCTGGTAAAATATGCAGGAAGTCGATAGATAGAGAGGTAGGTAGCTCAGGACCGTGATGTGTATCATTCCCCGGGGGAAGACTATGTTCAGCAGTGAACTTGTGATGAAGATGATGATGGTGATGATGACATTCATATATTTATTATTCTACTAAGTAGAAATTTTAATCACAAAACCAAAAATTTACATATAATCAACTTAAGATTTTTTTTTTATTTTAACTTAAATGTTTACAAATATGGATGGATGAGGTAGCAAAGCACTCGGCCTCGTATCAGCTAGACTTACGAGTAGAAATATATGGCCCTTGGAAGAATAATCAAGTGTAAGTGTATCAGAATTCGTAAAATACATTATATAAAAGGTACTAGTAATATCACGATAAATATCTACTCGATCTCACTTGCCAATCGAGACGCGATTTCTCGACTTACCGAGCTCTCTGGACCACATTTTTCTTATCTCGAATAAGGCAAAATTTCTCGCGAATTCCAGCTTCGAGAAATTTCGACGAGATACCCTAGTCTAGAGGGCATTTATATTAAAAAATTAAAAAAATCCTCGTTTTGTTAGCTGTTACAAAAAACAAACAAACATGTAGGTAGTCAAGTTATGCAGGGGCCGGAGGACGTTTTAAAAATACTAATTTATTAATTAAAGATGTTTAATCGCTACAATGACTCGCTTAAGACTAACTTAAAATTCTATCCTTAAAACAAAATGGATGAGAGCCCACACAGGAGCTCGGCAGTTTCCGTTTGCCCACTCAGCGTATGCACAGGCATACGCTGAGTGGGCAAACGGAATATTCTCAATCAGAATATTCTGCTGATGCGGATATCTTGGTGGGTCTCGCCACCCGTAACACCTTCCTCCTCAAGTTTGAAGTTCTCGTTTACAGGGGAACTTCGAATACAAAATTTTAACAAGTTTAAATGATACTTATGAACTAAGACACAGGTTACAATAATGATTAACAGTCCATACAATAAAATGGTCCATAGACTAACACTTTTAATCACCACAGTTGTCTTTTCAATGTCACTATTTTAAATTTCACTTTTTCTTAATGCAACTGACAGAAAATTGAGGTCCGCAAGATCTATTCCTTCTAGGTTGAGCTGCACCGGGGCTGACATCTCAAGAGATAGGTTTATCGCAGGTAGATTAATATTAGGTAATATAAGGGGTGAAATGCTTTCAATTTCCATAGGGTTTCTTGTTAGATTAATATCATTGATTTTAGCTGCACAGTTACCGTCTAATGTTAGGATATATGTGCCATGAATCTTCTGTCTTGCTATTTCATTATTGCAGATCTCGGAAAGTAGAGTAGACTCCATAGCATAGATAATCCATCAATTAGGTTGTATAAGCTGCACGCTTACGGCTTCCCAAGTGACCGGAACTTGGATGCATGAGGATATATTTTCAGTATAAGTCATGAGGTCTATGATGCAATCATCCTTAATTAGTTGAGATGTGTCGTCCTCAGGTCAGAGGAAACTGTATTCATCGACTTCCTGACAAGGATGAGTAAGCAGTCTAATTTTCGACCCTTTCACTAAAAGGAAATTTAGACAAAATGATAGAGTTATTTGGTAATACAGGTAAAGGATAGAGCTTATAATAAATATAAGTATCCTTAGTGACGAGAGGTATTTCCAAAAGATAAGTTATTCGATTTCCTTTTAAATAGGCTTTCACCGTTATAGTTTGCTCTATCTTAACTAAATTCTCTAATTTACAAATTTTTTCAATTAAAATTCCTAATCTACTCAAAGCTAAAGTGGTTTCTATCTCGTCCAATTTGATAAAGATAGCCTGAAAGTTATGAATAAATAAGTTATAATTTACTTATAGTTTGTGTCTCAATATGATTAAAGCGTTCTCTTTCGACTATATTGCTTAAGTTATATGATAATGCTATAATATCTTTATAATTTCGATTAGATTTTCATTTAATTTAAATTTATAGTTGGTCAGAGCTTGTGCTATTTCAGTGATCAACGTCATCCTGTTGTCGTTACTGTTCTGTTTAACTTTTACTTCTGTAATTAATTTATCGTATCTAACGGCATCATCGTTATCGAGATTTCCTGTGATTACTTTAATTAAGGAACCTAGTGGGTTAAATATACCACGTCTTGCTCGAAAAGAAGGGGTTATTTGTTCAAGCTTATTAATAGTTAAATTCTTAATATATTATACTTGAGTATTAACATCTACAAAATTATATGAAAAATTCTTATTTAAATTATTAACTAACTTATTTAATTCCGAAGACCTCAGTACGTTGATATTCACATCCTCTATGAATGGTTTTAGGTCCATTACTTTAGCAATAATCCGTTTATTATTACTGATGACAGCAGTTCCTTGATTCACGGGTAGTATTCCAGGATTGTCTTTTAGCTCCTGAAGTTGAAGGGCCTGGAGACGTGTCACCGTGGCTACTACCAGGATGAGCAGGAGGTGCCTGTGAAGGACGTTTTACATTCTTTAGAGGAACTTTACTATCACGTCCTTTAATGTTTACGGGAATTACGTTTCTACTAATGATATCGGTTACTAGGGCCTTTTGAAAACGTGGTTTATCTTTACTACTTCTTTTATTAGTACTTTTTGCATAAATAATGTCTCCAAGTTTTAGTGTACAGTATTTTTTTCTTTCTTTTATATGGATTGTTCTGTTAGATATTTACAGAGGTATTTAGTATGCTTTGCATGTTCTTTGATTAACTTTTGTAAATACTGTTTTTCAAAATCTACGTCGAATGAATGCCGTGAGTCTGTGTCTCCTAATAAGACTTCAAAAGGTATTAAGCCTATGGTAGAGTGTATGTTATGATTGTATGCCATTATTGCGTATTATGGAATATTATATATGCGTCATTATGGAAGAGGCGTCTGTATATTTGTGTTCATACTTTGCTAATCTATATATTTCCAGGATGGTTGAGTGGAATCTTTCAATTAATCCTATAGAATTTGGGTTATTAGGGGTGCCAATATGAAGTTCTATTTTATAAAAGGAAAGAAATTCTTTAAGTAAAGCATTATTAAACTCGGATCCGGGATCTGAACTTATTTTGTAGGGGACACCGTTAAAAGAAAAATATTTAAGAAGATCTCTAATGACTTCGGGAGTCGATCTGTTAACTATTTTAAAGGCCTGTCCTAATTTGCTGAAGGCATCTATTATTTTTAAATAATAGTGACCTTCGACTTTAAAGAGATGTATGAAAATTTCTTCAAGGGGTTTATTTTGGGTTTGCGTCAATTGAAGTTTAGGCTTTAAAGGGTTCTGATCATATTTCATACATTTACATGTGTCATATGAATTTATGGCACTGGCTATGATTTGGGCTATATTATACCAAAAATATGAGCGTTTTATATGTAATAGTGTTTCTTTAATACCACGATGGCAAGTTTTTCCGACATGATATTTCTGGACTATGTCTCTTTGTTCTCTCTCATTATCTACATATACGATTCTTTTGGTGCATTCGAAAAATTGTACAAGTTCCTTTTTAAATAAGAAAATTACTAATTCCGTGAATTATTTACGGTGTTCTTCATTTTTAAAGTAAATAAAGTATTTGGTTTTATTCCTAATATATTCTTTCAGAAATTGTTTTACTAAATCTGGTCAGTTTAAAGGTAAGTGTACTTCTAGAATTCTTTGTTTTTCTCTAGATAAGTTTTTTACAGATAATTTATCTATGTTCCAGCTGAACACTAAAATTTGATTGGGCTTAGTGTCGATTGCTTCCTGTAAGATTGGAATTCCCTATGATTCAGTGTCTTGTCCTGAATATGCGGTTTCTATACTAGAGGGTTTTCAGAGGCTGTTGAATGTGCTACTAGAAGTGTACGGTATGGAATAATCGGATCTTACTGATAGGGTTTTTTTCTGAATCTGTATCACTGATTCCGGAGGTGGTTGCATAAATGTCTTTTTTTGTAATTCGTCTAATTCTTTAATGTCTTTTATTAAGTTCTGAATTTCCTGATTTCTATCTTCGTCTTTATCTACATTTGCATGAGTGGATGAAACTTCCCTTTTATCTATGGCATTAATTCTAATTCGCGACAAAGCGTCTGCGTTGGAGTTCTGCTTACCACTCTTATGAAGAATACTAAAATCATATTCGGCTAGTCGTAAGTGTCAATTAGTCAGTCGGCTATTTGTTTCTTTAAGAGAGTTTAACCAGGCAAGAGGTTTATGATCGGTTATGATCGTAAACTTTTTGCCATAAAGATATGGACGGAAGTGGTTGATAACCCAAACTATTGCTAGCAGTTCCTATTCGGTTACCCTGTAACGTGTTTCGGCATCGTTAAGGGTTCGAGTAGCATAAGCAATGGGTTTGTCTTGTCCTATAGATTCTCGTGAAAGGACAGCACCTAAAGCAAATTCTGAAGCATCTGTAGTTAATATAAATGGCTTTTTAAAGTCAGAGTATTGCAATATGGGGGCATTTGTCAGAAGTTCTTTATATTTTTGAAAGGATTCCACATATTTACTGTCGTCAATAGGCATCGAACGTTTCTTTTTCAAGCGTGCTATCATGGATTGAATTACTTTAGCGAAATCTTTTATAAAACGACGGTAATAGCCTACTAGGCCGAGGAAGCTTTTAATCTCGGTTGTGGTCTTTGGTAAGGGATAATTTAAAACGGCTTGAATTTTTTCATTATTAGGTTTCAGTCCGTCGCAAGTAACCGTATGTCCTAGGTACAATACTTATTTCCAGGGTGAAAATGATTGTCTAATTATATCGTTTTCCAACATTTTTTCTACCTGTTTATTTATTTCGTTGTTTATAACTTGTGGTTGTCTATAGGGTCGAATAAAAATTGGGTCTTCATTATGAGTTCTAATTTGATGCTTAACTTCATTTGTAAAAGTAAGTGGTAATTGTTCAGAGTAAAATATGTCCTTATACTGTAAGCGAAGTGTACGAATACTATTACGTTCTTCTTGGTTCTTCATGTCGTATAATCGTAATTTATATATATTTTCAGATAAAATTTTGTCTACTTCGAATTCGTTCCTGTTTTGTAAATTGTTAACTTCGACTTTTACGTTATTAAGTCTAGTCACATTAAACGGTTTAGTTACAACTAAACTCTCGCATTTAACAAGAGCACTGGGCATTCTAACGCCATCAAAAAAATTGGTGTAATTTAATATACCTTCTCCGTTTAATAAATTGGTTGCTAATCTAACTCTTTGTTCGCAACGCGGGGCTAATTTCATTTCGTTATTCGGATTATAAATTATGGGTATATTTGCGGATTTTGTCTGTAATATTTGGTTTTTCATATCGATCTTGGAATCTAATTGTTTGAGGAGATCGCTTTCGATAAGTCCATCATAACGGCCTTCTACGTCGTACACATAAAACTTATGCGTCTGATCACTATTGAAAGTCGGAAATAAGGGTATAATTATTACTTCATCGTGTAAACTGCGATGCGTGTGTACTGAAAACTTCAAATGGTTTGTAACGTTTAAAATTCTCAAAGTAATCGTTGGTTTTAGAAGGGTTTATGAAAGATCTAGAACTCCCGGTATCGACCGTAAACTTAGCATTCATTTCGAGTATTACATAACATAAACACTCACGCCTGTCACCCAGAGGGGTAGGCAGAGACTACGGACTTCCATTTGGCACGATCCTGACATACCTCTTTCGCCTCCTTTACATCCATATATCTACGCATACATGCTCGTCGGTTAAGGGTACTTCTAACGTGGCCCATTTTCAAAATATCGCCAATTTGGTCGATAAACTTTTTCCTAGGGCGTCCCTTCCCGACTCGGCCATTCACATCTGCCATATAAATTTGCTTTGTCACTCTTTCCTCATTCATTCTTTCTACGTGACCAAACCACCGAAGCATTCCTTTCTTAATCCTGGTCACAACATCATCTTGCATACCACATTTATCTCTTATCACGCAATTTCTCACCCTGTCATTCAGATTACACCCTAGCATATTCCTTAAAGACCGCATTTCTACAGCATTTATTTTACTTTCGTGCTTCTTCTGCCACACCCAGCTTTCACTACCATACATTAAAGTAGGGACTAACACAGCATTATGAATTACCATACGTGCCTGTTTTGACAAATTCTGGTTCTTCATAATAGAGTGTAGTGCCCCATTCACTCTATTCCCTGCATTTACTCGTCGTTCTATATCCCTATCATATCTACCATCCCTGCTAAATACACATCCCAAATACACAAACTCATCCACTTGCTCAATCAACTCTCCTTCTATTCTTATTTCACATACCGTTTTGCTTTCTTCTCTTTCAAAAACCATCACTTTCGTCTTACTTGCGTTCACTTTCATTCCCCTTTCTTTTAATTCCCAGTTCATTAATGTAACCATCATTTGCAACTCTGCCGCCGATGACGCAAGTATGACTTGATCATCGGCATACAAAAGGCATTTGACGGTTAACTCGCCCATTCTTAACCCACATTCTTCATCTTTCAAAGTTTGCAAACACCGGTCCATAAATAGGTTGAACAGCCAAGGGGAAGCCACACAGCCCTGTCTGACACCTTTTTGGATGCCAAACCAGTCCGAGTAGACCCCATTGATCCTGACACAAGCACTAGAGTCCCTATAAAGAGACCTTAATGCCTGTATCAAACCAGCGCTCAACCCATATGAGTTCAGTGTTTGCCATAACACATTCCTGTCCACTCTGTCATAAGCCTTTTCCAAGTCCATGAACGCACAAAAAACTTTCTGGTTTTTGGCCAAAAACTTCTCCGCAATCATGCGCATGGAAAAGACTTGATCTGTACACCCCATTCCCTTTCTAAAACCCGCTTGCACATCCCAAATTTTTCCATCAGTTTCTTTCATAACTCTTTCAATTAACACCTTAGCATACAGTTTACCCACAATACTAAGCAAGCTGATACCGCGGTAGTTTTTGCAGTCCTGCTGTGACCCTTTTCCTTTATATATTGGTACTATAACTGCTTTACACCAGTCATCCGGTACCCGTTTTAATTCCCAACATAAATTAAACAAGGTGTACAGCAGGCCTGCCACCACTCCCTCTCCAGCCCTTAGCATCTCGAGTGATACTCTATCATATCCAGCTGCCTTACCTGCTTTCATGCTTTTCATTGCTTTCATTATTTCATCTACACTTATCTCCATACCCCTTTCCACTTCTTTCGGAATTTCTAGTTCATTTAATTCATACGACTCTTCACTCATAAACACGCTTTCAAAGTATTCCTTCCATCTGTTTAAATTCGAAACTTCATCATTCAGAATACATCCATTCTCGTCTCTTATAGCATTTATTATAGGCTGTTTTGTATTTCCCCTGGCAGTTCTTACGAGTTTCCAGAACATTTTTATGTTAGCCTGGAAATTATCAGATATCCTTCTATCATTCTTATCCGTTCTTTCTTTCTTTTTCCTTTCAACAACTTCTTTTACTCTCTTATTTAGACGTCTAAATTCTGCCTTTTTTCTTTCAATCTCATCATTCATACCAGAAGAATTATCAGTTTTGGTTGCTAGTAAATCTAACCATGCTTTCTTCTTTGATTCAACTTCCACCCGTACCTCATCATCCCACCATAACGTATTACTTTTCCTTTCATTTGTTCTCTTACTTACACCGCATACTTCGGTGGCGGTATCCACCAAACCTTTCTTAATATTATCCCACACAGTATTCAAGTCTAAATCATTCATACACAACTCATTCAAACATCTAATATTTTCTCTCAGTCTACATTTATACTTCTCTATCACATCTTCATCTTGTAACTTCTCTATTCTTATACGCTGTAACGCAGTGGTAGATACAGATGTCCGATGCCGCCAACGCTTGAAAAGACCATTAATTCGACATAAGACCAAGTAATGATCCGTCCCTACGTTGGACCCCCCGGTAAACCCTTGTATCTACGACTGCGCTCCTCATTCTTTCATCCACAATTAAGAAATCTATCATGCTTCTATCATCACCTCTTTCCCATGTATACATGTGAATCTTCTTATGACGAAAAAAAGTATTCGTCACAAAAAGATTCTTTTCCGCACATACGGTGAGGAGGTCTTCACCATTCTCATTTATACTTTCATCACCAAACGTTCCCAATATCCTTTCATAACCAGACCTCTTCACCCCAACCCTTCCATTAAAGTCTCCTAACATAATAATATTTTCATTTTCCTTACATTTTGTCAACACCATCCTTACCATGTCCCAAAACTGCTCTCGGATGTAAGTGGGCTTAGACATGTCTGGGGCGTACACCCCTAGCAGGAACAGTTTCTTTAAGCCCACTTTCATTCGTATCCATAGCAGTCTTGGGCTTACACATTCATACTCTTTCACACATTGACCCATTCTTTCTGAAAGGATGAAACCGACTCCCTGGCATGCCCGTTCGGTCTCGCCTACACCAGACCAATACGCGGTATACGTGCCATGTGCAGTGGCATCCTTTCCCTTTCGTTTCGTCTCATTCACACATAACACATCTATTCCTCTGTCATTCATCATTTCGCATACTTCATCCATCTTATCATTCATTCCTCCACATACATTCAGCGTAGCCAGACGGGTTTCCGCAATCCACTTTTCGCCCCTCCGGGAGACAGAACGTGACGGGTGGCGAACCTCGTCGCCGGTTTTTCTCCCGGAGATTCTTCGCACCCCTGCCCCATTTAAAGGGCGCCGGGAACTCGAGGCCATTTCTTTTATTTCTTGAGTCATGGTGCGAACAAGGGTTGGTGGTAGATTTTACGCCGCTACCATACGGCGAGGAGCCGAGTCTATTTTATCGGCTTTGTCGCTCGTTTAGCACCACCCGGGGGACACGTGTAGGGTGGGCCTAAGGTTAGGTGGTCGAAGCCTACGGACGCGAGCGACTCATCCCCCCGCGAGCGACTCATCCCCGCGGTTCCATTCGAGTATTACTATATACGTTAATTTTAATTTAGGGTTACAATTTATGTGTATTATCTCTGGGATTGATTCGAGGATTCTATTTGAAAATTTTCGGTTTCGTGTGGTAATTCTGGTTCGTTATATATTCGAGTATTTCAGGGTTCTCGCAATAATTAATTTCATCCTCCGTTTGGATGTGACTTACGTCATAAGGAGTGTCGTCATAAGTGTCGTCACAGTTTTCGTTAAGCGCGTATAACTCGTTCATACGAAAACCTTGAGGTTTTTGTAAATGAGGTGGTGGTCTATAACCAGTGTGTTGGTGAACTTGGTTAAAGTTTGGTCTATATCCAAATTGTGGCGTTACACCTAATTGCGGCTTATATCCTGTGGGTTGTTGAGGGGGTTGTGGTTTAATTCCAAATTGTTGGGGTTGCTGTGTTGGCAATTTAATTTGCTTGCTTGGTGGTATTCCAAATTTAAGTCTTGGTTGAAATTGCATATTATGTTCGGGTTGAAATTGTTGAAGGGTTTGAAATTAAGGTCTCATGTTTGGTGTGCTTTGAGGTGTGTTAATTTTAAAACCTTACTGTGGTATTTGTGTATTTTGTGAGAAAAATGGTTTCATTGAAAATTTGTCAATAAAGGGATTTTGAGACACTGGTTGAGGTTTATGTTGGGCGTTGTTAGGTAATCGTAACATTTTATTTCTCGCCTGATATTGGTATAAGAAATTAACTTCCTCAAGCACTATGCTCAAAGCACTTTCTAAGGTATCATTTTTATCCGTAACAAGGTTCCTGAAGAAACATACTTATTTATTTATTTATTAGGATTACCAACAGAAATTACAACAGTAATACAAATATAATTTTAATAACAAATTAAGCACATGATATTTGTATTTCTTTTTATAGGTAATCACAACATGCATTGCTTATTTAGTAAATAAAAGGATTATAAGAAAAACAAACTGAATAACATCATTGAATAAATAAATTATTAAAAAGAAATAGAATTATTTAACAATATTATAAATAACTTCATTATCATATTAAATTACATTAATCATATTATAGAAAACAAAATCAATTCCAATATTATACTTATTAATTAATTCATTCATTATTTAAAAAAAATGATTAATTTTGATTTGTAGGTAGATAAAATATCGCAAGTAATATCGAGGCCAGGAATCTTCGAGGACAGTTGACGTTCAGAGGCGTTATACGTGCGAGCCAGTCTGGCTAGAGGGGAATAATTTCACAAGTTAGATCTATAAAGAGAGAAGATTTTAAATAAAATGACGGAAACGCGTGATAAACAAATCTATTCAATATTCAGACTAAGTAAAGCAGAATTAACGAAGTATTTGTCGGCATTCGACAGGCCCTCGTATCCATTGCTCATTATTGTTTCCTTTCTTATGCAAGGCATCGTCTTACGTTTTACGAACCTATAAAATCAAAATGTTTTCTTTTTCAACGCGATACTTTTATGTATCTCATTGATTAAATCTGAAAGGATCGAGTTTATGACAAATTAATGGTAAAAAAGCGGATTGATTATAACAAAAGAGATCAACTCTTTAATCTTGATATTGATCGCTTAAGACTGACAATATCAATGTTTCATGTGTACACGGTTTTATGGAAAAGATTAATAATACACAAAATGTTAGTTATTCATACAAGTTTATTTTATCACCTTCAGATGATACACTTTCTCCAACGAATAATCCAATCATCAAAACATTTTTAAACACGTTTTCCGGAATTGAGTTCAGTACTCTCTGTGAATTTTCCTTCATTTCTTCTACCAAATGAAAACAGGTACCAAAAAGTGGTTATTTGATTTAGGGAAAAAGAAAGATGTCGGCTACAGCCATCGTCGTGCTTGGTCAAAAAGTCGTTCACAACGATGGACTCGTACAAAAGCGCATTATCGTGGTGCAAAGTCCAAGAATTTTCTTTCGACAAATCTGGCCTTATTTGTCTAATTTGTTTTCTTAAACATCGCATAACGGTCAAATAATATTATTAATTTACCGTTTAACATCCCGGCAAGAACTCCGAGTGCACAACCCCGCGATAGTTGAAGAAAACAGTCAATATGACTTTGACTTTTGATCGATTTTGGCGTGGTTTTTTCGGTTTCGGTTCAGTTGGAAGGAGCTACTCTGAAGTTTATTGACTAGTTTGCATGTCAATTTCGTAATCCCACATCTCGTCACCAGTAACAATGACTTTCATGAATTTTTGGTGGAATTCTCAGCGATTTATGCAATTGAGTTTTTGAAGAAAATTCAGGTCTTTTAGGACTAGGCGAGCGGCAACTTATTTAAAATGATACGAATCGACTAAAAAGACACAAAAGTTTGGCGCTATCTCTTGCAAACTTGAGTGGGGATTTTCAGTCACTATTTTCTTAACTTTTGCGACTTTACCGACGTTAACTTCAGTTGCAGACGATGATGGCCTACCAGAGCGAAGCAAATCTTCCATCACATCTTGACCGCTTTAGAACGCTTTGAACCACTCGTAAGTACGTGTTTTCGATAAAGTTTATTATTAGTTTTCAAATTACGTTGGGGTCACCAGTTTGGCAGGAACAGAGAAGATTCTCCCGCCGGGCAAGGTGATCAGCCCGGGGAGCGTCCAATGCTTCTTGTGAGAGTTTGGAGCTTTTGATATTACCTTGGAACTTTTTATAGCGTGATTAGGCTTCAGTGTGTTTAGCTTGTGAGGCGACGACAACGCCGCCAAAAATTATTTGAAGTCCATACAAATATTTGTTCCGTGCGGGATTTGAAACCATAGCCCTCAGCGCTGCCACTAACTACTAAGCTAATGCGCAGCATAGCCATTCATATTTTTATAAAATATAATATTCTCCTTTATTTGCACTAACTCTACTCTACTAACAATATTTTGTTTCGATGACACATGCAATTACCCTCAGCGATTACTTTCAGGTACGACGGACCATGACTATTATAGATAGTGACACGAGAATAGAACGTTATGGTTTGAGATAAAATAAGTTTCTATGAAAACATTTCGTTAAGCATATATAAGGATGATTGGCAATGTGGTTGGATAAAATTATATTTGCAAACTTGGCAGTTACAAATGTTGAACGAATGTTATACGTTCTGGGTATTTTAAATCTGATGCAAATGTGATGTGATGTGATGTCATACCGTCATCTGTTAGAAGCCATAAGAACTTTCAGACACTTCCCAAAGTCTTCTCCTATGACAACCACAGGACTTAAATGAGGTAATCATCATCATTATCATCATCATAACAACCCTTCACAAGTCCACTGCTGAAAACAGGAGTGTTACAAAGCACGGTCCTGAGCTACCTGCACCTATCGACTTCCTGCTTCTCTTACCAGTTCGTCACTTCATATAATGAGCTGCTATCCTACACTTTGCTTATTCGGTTGCTGTAGTTCGGGTGTCGGTTCTTAAAGCTATATGGCCGGACCATTGCCATTTCAGCTTACTAATCCGACGAGATGTCACTCAAACGACCACACACTCCACTCGATGGTGATTGGGTGCTATGGCCAATAGACATCAATCAAATAGGAATAAGATACGTTGCAAACCTGCAACATTCATTGCTATGCAGATGACAACACTGGTGATGCTCTGTACACCGGCCGTACCAATATTTCTCGGGAAAACTTTTCCGAGTACCGGGACAAACTTGTGTCTGAAGTCAAGTTTTTGCTGAACAGAGTCTCGGATTGGAGGTGACTAAACTTAGTCCATTTTAGTACTCAGAGTCTTCTGAGTTTGCACGTTACCCGCTAAAAAGAACCCCTTTGTCGTATCTCCTCAGTTTCTTGAAGTAAGGGAGTGCCTTGGCACTTCCTTTGTTGCCTCAGCCAGTATTGGAATCCTCGGCGTCGACATATTGTGTGTCGTGCAGTTTCGTGGTCAGTTGACCGCATCCAGCGCAAAGCGGCTCGAATCGTCGACGACCGAGTGCTTTCCAATCGCCTCGATTCACTGGCGCTGCGAAGTTATGTTGCATCTCTTTGCGTATTTTATCTCGTCTATCACGGAGTGTGCTCTAAGGAATTGTTCGGATTAATTCCAGCCGCCAAATTTCATAAACGCACTACGCGGTAAACCTCCCGATACTATCCACACCATCCGGATGCTTGGCGGTCCACGACTGTAAGTTTCACTAGGAGTTTTCTTCCGCGTATCTCTGAGGTATAGTTTACCACCGGCGATTTTTCCGGACCGATACGACCTGGGGACCCTCAAGAAAAGAGCTTACTCCTTTCTAAAGGTCCGACACCGCACCTGCTTTTCCCCTGATGTTCATGGGCTGCGATAGTCACATAACATCAGATGAACCTTATGCTCGTTTGATCCTTCTTCTATAAAGAAAAGAAAAATGGCTATATATAATTGCATTAAAGTGCAATGTAATATTGTCTCATGCAGATAACTATCTACACTGATACTAGCAACCGTGGCCGAAATTCGGTCTGGAGGAGTTCATTATTAGCTTTTAGCTACAGATCTGCAATATTTTTTATTTGAAACCGCTTCTGAATTGTACCATAGGTAACGTATCATAGCCAATGACGCGCATCAGTATGCGAATGACATGTCACCACATGATTAATGCTCCACTTTCAGGAAAATCGTACGAAAGCCTATGCTACGAGCGTTCTATGCATGATCGATTGTTACCAAGCAACTGCTATTATACTTGATTAAAAATTTAATTTGTGCCTTAGTTAGAGACAAGAGTGTAATACATGAGATACGGGAGTAAGTAAATCCATCATTCCCTTCAGTCCCGTGAATGTCGTAAGAAGCATTTTTATAGAATATGATTGACAAATGAACATACAGTTCATCTCATCGTAAGTGGGTGCTGTTGTCCATAGATATCTATATCTAATCTCAGTTCATATTCAAAATACAGATGTGTTCTCATCCATGAGGACTAAAATAGCTAATGCCTAGTTTCCAGTAAAAAGGTTTCCGGTTCTCTACACCAACTATAGGAAAAACAGCTGCATTAGGCTGCTATTTCACGCTGATATACTGTGAGAGTGTGTTCCCGTCCTGGTCGAGCTAACCCATTCGTTATAAAACCATAATATAGCTACACCGTGGCTTTAGCACGTATACCATAATAAAAGCTACTGTGGAAAGTGACCGATAAGTGTTATAGCTTCTGGTATATGCAGTGAAGTATCATGGCTTATCACTGCCTACGGTCGCTAAGACAAAAATGCCACCCCTTCCGCTTTGGGAGGGACTACATATTATATTTACGCTTGGCTTGGGTGTGCAGAATATTTCTATTTTTATATTTTTCAGCGGTACAACATTCCAGCTATTTACTTCGCTCGTTTTCGTGTATATCTGTTTGGTTCTAATTTAGTAACCGATTTAAGACTAACTACTTCTAGCGGTGTGCTATAAACATGACATTTTGAACACACAGGCGGTTAATTATA